TCAGAAATATCTAAATATGAAGAGGAGAAAATTGATCAGATATAGTCTGTTAAAACAGCTATATACTATCTTTTAATAATTTATTTCATTACAGTCTCTTATTATTTTACTTTACTTTTTTCTTTCTATTCTTTTCTATCTATCTATTTAATATGTCTATCTTTAAGACTGTGTTCTCTTTTCTTTTATCATATCAAATGATTTCAAAGTATCAAAAGATGTTAAAATACTGCAATTTATAAACAGTTTTTATATTCTGAGCTGAAATTTTCTGATTTTACATATCTGAAATTGATGAATGTATAATAGTTAACTTTATAGATATAGGAAAAACTCTGAGAACTTTTAGTTCTCAGATAGATGTTATAGTCTCTGACTGTATACATCTATAATTGAAGAATAATAATAATAATAATACTACTGTTAACTATATGAAGTATTAATATATCTAGAATAATAGAAAGAGTTCAGACTCATTTATTACAGAATCTGTAACTGTAGAAGAATCTGATTTCACTGTACATATTTATTTACAGTTCTACACAGTATAAAGAGATAATCAGTGATAGAAAAGATATAATAAAAGAAGATTACAATATCTGAGTTCTCTGAGTATGATATTAAAGATAGATAGCTGTAGAAGTAGTAGAACACTGTAAAGAAATAAATTAACTAAGAGACTGATTTTATAAGCAGTGAACACAGACTTTTAATACATTATTCATTCTTGAGAATCTATGAGAGATGATTAATCAGATGTATTATCTATTCAAGAATCTGTACAGAGTAGATTATTAATCAGATATGTTATCTATTTAAGAATCTGTACAGAGTAGATAGTTGATAAGATGTATAATCTATTATTCAAGAATCTGTACAGAGTAGATGTAGGCTACTGAGACAAAAGAGCTCAGTCACCACCAGCACTGCTGGTAGAAGGGCCGATCAACCCCTGAGACCCTCAACAGTAGATGATATGATAGTGCAATGTCACAGGATTGCGCTTCACTTAATTCTACACCAATCAGTGGGCTGTATTCACGCCAAGAACCCCAAAAAGGAAATTCTCCACTTTTAATGACCAGGGTTTTCATCATATATTTGCTTCGCTTCGCTCCGCAAATAAGATAAGCGGTGCCATGATGAGAGTCACATGACTGTAATATTTACGCTAACTGCATGAGGAAATAGCTGAATAAGCCGCGTCTCCCGCCATTGAACGTCATGAATGAGCGCGACGGCGAGACTCGACACTGCAAAAAAATTTTGACCAAAGCGACTGTTTCCGGATACACGGATCTATATATGTTGAATATATAACCGGATATACGCAACACATACACTGCTTTAAACCTCTTGAACCGATTTTCTTCAACCCGACTGGCCTTTTGGTTGGTGGCTGTCTGGCTTATCTGCCTTTCACTTTTGCAGACGGGAGTCCGTCCCTGGCTTGCGATACCCCTTTTCACGAAAGACCAATATTTCTAGGCATTATCGCCTTTATAACGTTTATACATGAGATTTTGATCCTCCCTCTGTTTGTTTCGCTGTGAGGGACCAAGTTTCGGGTCGTGATCGTCAAAAGGAGAGTGCTGCCCGTCCCTGGATCCCGGCTTCTCTAAATCTCACAACCGACTTGCACCTCCAGTTCTCTCGCAGCTACCCTAAGCTATGTCGGATATTGACGCAGAAATCTTGGCGCTTGCGGGAGGGGATGATTCCTCGGACGAGGAAACTACCGCTACCCAGCCAAAACGTGCCTCGCCCGGCCAACAAGGAGGGGAAGAGTCTGAGGAAGAGAGCGGCGAAGTTTCGAGAAGGAGAGGTGGAAAGCACTCTTCGCGCACTAAGAGGCCAAGAAACGCCAGAGACGATGATGATGATGCAGAACTGTATGTGTTATTTGCTTACATTTGACCTGCACATTCACTTGTTATTGTCTATCTTGTCTTTCATCGCCATCTTTACCTTCTGCTTCCGTTACCCTCTACCACAGCCACAAACCAAGCAGAAATGTTAACCTCACCATCTACGTTCAGCTCGTCCTCTTCCTCGCGATCTCGCACCTCTCTGCGATCCGCCTCCATGTCTGAATCCGACTCTGACGATGTCTCTCCACCTTCCGATGATCAGGGCCCGATTTTCCCTTATGAAAAGCTCTTCTATTCCGCCAAAGACAAGGCCGAGGTGATGGCTTTGCCTGAAATACAACGCGAGGAACTACTATCCGAAAGAGCTCAGCAAGTTGACCGCCATAATCAAGATCTCGCTCTCCGCCGTCTCCTCGCCTCTCGTGAACGGGAGGACGCTCGTGCGGCTGAGAAGAAGAAACGCAAAGCTGGAGCCACGGACATGGAAGAGAGCCAGCGCAAAAGTTCACGGCAAAAGACTACCCTAGGAGGTCGCAAGGTTGGAGAAACTTCTGATGCGATCGAGGCGTACAAGCGCCAGCGCGAGGAGAAGGGTAAACGCGACGAGCAGCGTCGAAGGGATGCCAGTTCGAGAAGAAAGGATAGAGCTAGCGGTTCGCCAGATGAAGGTCTTTGGGATGGTGATGCTAATGGCGGGAGTGATGTTGAATGGGATGAGGGACCACGTCGTCGATCTCCGTCTTTGCCCCGGGATGATCCACCAGCTGAACTGAGGGATATTCAACGTGCCCGTGTTGGTCGCAGTAATTTTGCGCAGGTTTGCTTCTATCCCGGATTCGACAGTGCTATTGCCAACTGTTACGTTCGGGTTGTTATTGGGGTCAATAAGGAAACGCAGCAAAATGAGTACCGACTCTGTTCTATTAAAAGTATATTATTCCCCCGCTTGTGGCTATGTATTGACTTCACATATTAATTCGTGGTATTTTGCTAGGGTTCGCGGAGGGCAAGCCTTATGCCATGGAAGGGCCTAACGGTAGAAGTTTCATCACTACTCAGTACGCAGTTCTTGCCCATGGCAAGGCGGAGAGGGAGTTCCCTTTCATCGCATGTTCGGATTCGCCAATCACTGATGTATGTATCCTGTTGGATCAATAGTTTAACAACTGGGAAGATGGATTCTAACCGTATATCTAGGCTGAATTCAACCGCTACCGTCAAACCATGGCAGTGGAAGATTGCAAGATGGCCACAAAGTCCATGGTTGCTGGCAAGGTCGCGGATATCAACCGGCTCATCAATCACCAATTTACAAAGGAGGAGCTAGAAGAAAAACTCCGTCGGCAGGGAACCAACGATAACAAGATGAAAGTTTTTGAACGTCTCCAGCTCGAGAAGCGCCGCCAGGAAGCGATCGCAGCCGGTGACGAAGCAGCGGTTGCCCAGTGTGATGCCGAACTACAACGTTTTACAGGGCCTAAGCTGGCCTTTGGTACAAGTCTAGTTAAGCCCCGCTCAACGGAAAAGACGCAACAGGAACGCTTGCAAGAACTGAACCGACGCAACCAGAAACTCAACGCTGAAAACGTGCGGCGTGCACAGCTCGAGGAGCGGCGGCGCGAACGACTTGCCGCGGCTGCTGTGGCGCGTGGTGAAGCTGTCGCCAACCGTTTCGCGCGTGTGAAGACGAAGGCGAGAACCCATTATGACGTTCATGGGAACCGGCTTGTTCCGAAGAGTGGAGAGGACGGAGGAACGAGCGATATGAGTCGTCCAGTTACACCCATCACGGGTGCTAACACTCCTAATGGCAATAAAGCTAGCACACCTACACCTAATGGTGCGAGCGCGACACCTTCTAGTACCAAGGGCGCGAGTGATTCGATGAAACCAGCACGCAAGGGGGGAATCCCTGTTATCCGCCATCGGCCCACGGATGATGAAAATATCGCCGCTTTGGATTTCGATATTGATATTGAGATTTAAACGAATTTTTGTTACATTGTGGGCTAGCTAAAGTTTTTCATCTCTTTTGCGTGCGGCAGTGCCAAAGGGCAACAGTCGTTCTTCAAATTCCCCCTTTTCTCTTACCTTACCTTCCACTGACAAGAGCAAGTCGAAACAAAGAGGGGCCAACTATTTGGCGTTTTAGTTGACTAGTTCGGGGTTGCTATTTTTGTTTGCTTCAATCGGTTTTTATAGGTTTCATATGGATACATAGCGGGTTGTTTCCGGTATATAATTCCCTCCCCCCATGTTTAATGTTTCGCAACTATCTGGCCATTCTTACTTTTTTTCATGGCGTCTGGTCCTATGGAATGGTTCTCTTTCTCTTTTCTGTTCCTATTCTTCGTCTCGTTTCTCTCCCTCCCTAGCCCTAACTTACGTTTGCTTCTGCATCCTGTGTTAAATTTTACCTTTTTTTCTCTTCCTCCCCCCCTTACAAGCCTTTGTAAAAATCCTAGTTTTCGCAAGCTCTTGATGTATTTTATTTAGCATTGGTAATGCTCATCTTCAATAGACTGTTGCCTTTGATACTTTCTATTATCTTTTCCTTCTTTTTTATACCCCTATTTTTTTGCCAGTCCCATGCTTCTCGTCTCAAGACCCTACTGCTGTGTTCTCGCGTTCATCCGTTCCCGGGTTTGGAGGATATGGGGATGATGGGGTTTTTTTTGTCTCCATTTTCCGGACTGATAAGTGCTGTAGCCGGAAAGCGATCCAGTAGAAGACAAGAAGGAGATAGAAGATGTAAAAAAGAATGGAAAGATGAAATTACAAAAAGGGGAGAAGCTGCGAAAATAGATATTTGAAGAGAGGGAGCGACGAGAAGTCTGTTTTCAGTGTTTTGTTCTATTTTTCCTCTCCCTGCTCAAACAGTTTCCTTTCTTTGTATTAGTGAGCCTCTTGTCTTAGTTTTTTTTTGCCCCTCCTATCTCTATTTTCGAGTGCATGGACTAATAAATATTGTTCTTCTGAGCTGACTGGGGTCTGAACCAAGGAAGCAGTCAGCCCTATCACGTGCTTTTGGCCAAAGCAAAACGCCAAGCCTCCTTATCGATAAGATAAGATTTGATACTTTACCTAAAACAGACTAGCGTGTTACCTTCCTCGCGTCTCCTGGGCGTCGCGGCTTCGCGTGGAGCCAAAATGGGCAAAGCACCAACATCCACTCTCACCATATGGAGACGTAATATTAACGCTTCTCAACATACGAAATATTGCTCTAATACAAAGTAACTTTTTCTCCGTTACGTTTTATTCCACAGTTTAAATGCTATATATCATTTATATTTCAACCCCAATGGCAGTCTAGCATATTAGGGTCCCGTTTCGCATCCGTGACTGGCACGCTAGATCAGAGCAGGTCGGACAATCCCGTTCCCAATAATCTGAGCCTCAATTTGCTTGCAAGTTAGGCCCACCTACCACTAATCTACGGTGACAATTGGAATTGGAATTGGAATTGCGAATTGACAATATGGAAATTGATACACCCTCCACCAAACGGCCGGCGCGGTCCTCCGTAACACCAGAGCGCGATGCACAAAGTGAACATAATAGCGATGATGCTGGCGTCAACTCGCCTGTCATATTGACGCCGGGCGCGAAGATTCGGGCTATTATGGCGGCGTATGATACGGATACAGATTCGGAGGGGGAAAGGGAGAAGCAGACGGAAACTAACAGGTCAACTCACCCTTCTAATGCCGGCGGCAATAGTAACGATAGCGCGAAGATGAAGCAACCTGTGTCGAGGGCGCTTTTCACGCCATTTGCGGCCGCGAATTTCTATCGCCCCCGGGATGATGATGGGGATGCGGCCGAGGAGGAAGACGAGTTACCCATGCAGCCGAAGGGGAGGATGGCGGCACGGATGCAGACGTCAGCGGTAGAGCAGAGTGCGACTACGACTGCGAGTGCGTACGAACGGGTTTCCAAGGGAATGATCCAAGCGCGGGAAGATACTACTGCTAGTGATAAGGGGATTCGTCCTCCGTCTTCTGAGGACGAGGATGAGGATGAGGATGAGGATGAGGATGTTCGCGCTGTTGGAAGGAGGAGATCGTCCGCAGCAGCAAGGGAATCTCGTCGTTCATATTCCCCACTTTTTGTGCCGGAGGGTTCACCGAAACTGAATGCAACTACAGACAATGACATGGAGACAGACGACGAGGTCCAAACGACTATGAGGAGGAGAACGGGTTGCGGAGGTAGATCTGCTTCGATAACGTCTAACAGGTCCTTTTCGCCGTTGTTCGTTTCTCAGGATTCCCCCACCACGAAAAGGAACAATGGCGCTACCCGGGATGCAATGGAAACAGATGATGAGGATGAGGGGCTCGGACCACCAAACCATAACAGACTCATGGCCCTGGTTGAGAAGAAGCGAAAGGAGCGTGAAGCCCGCGAACAACTAGAAGAGGAGAAGAAAGCTGCTAGATTACAGCGATCGAGCGAGGTACAGGAAACAATACTCAGCTCCGATCGCCTTAGTGACGATGCTGATGATTCGGAGTCCGGGAGGAAGTTAACACAACATTCGCGTCCCTCAGCTCGTAAAGCGAGCAAGAAGGCGTTGCTGGAGATGAACCGCGAGACGCAACGTATGAGTCGCAATATGCAGTTGGCCCACCAGGCTGTTACAAGGAAAAAGATTACGCTAGATAGTTTCCTAGCTAAATTTAATAGCAAAAGCTCGTCTCTAAATGCGGCCGAGGCTACGAGTTCTGCTCCCGCTTCGTCAGACCATGAGGAAGGGCAGGCTAGACATAGTACGCCGCCTACTTCACCCTTGAGAGAGGGAATTTCAGAGGACAAACCAGTCGAGGAAGCCGGCGAAGATAGCAGTAAGCGAATTAGCGTGTCGAAGGATGACGACAACATTTATATTCCATCCGTGGAAGAGATATTCGCTGGATCCGCGCAGGTTTCTCACGAACCAGTTGATCCCTCTCGTCCGGAGCGACAGGCCTCGAAAGCGCCGTCCGTAACCCCAGCACCCGGAATACCCAGCAAAACAACACGACCCGTCCGTATCCGCCTCTCCCGCCAGTCGATAGAGGAGAGTCAAAAGAACAACACCGATTCTGATTTGGAAATCATCACTTCCCCTGCGAAAACGCGTCGTATCGCTGTCTTTGAGAATTTGCCGACGCGTAATAACCAGTCATGCTCCACACTACTAAAACTTAGAACCCTAGCACAACTCACGTCTCCGACGCGCCAGCGACAGACAACCATGATGACGCGCAGTGAGTTGGACAACAATCTTTTCCGACGCGCGCGGCTACAGGCATTGCAGGAGCGGCAGGAGAAGATCGAGGAGCTGAGAGCTAAGGGTGTTGTTATAGAGACTGCGGAGGAACGCATGCGTGTTAATGATGAGGTTGAGGATTTGCTGGAGAAAGCTAGAGGGCAGGCGGAGGAGATTGCGAGGAGGGAACGGAAAGCGGCAAAGAAGGATGGTAGACACCTTGATGCTGTTGACCTGGATGATAGTGAGGATGGGGATTACCAGGGCGCGGATGGGGAGGTCCTTTCTGAGTCTGACGAAGAGGAAGGGGAGGACATCATAGTAAGTGATGACGAGGAAGTGGAAGCTGAAGAATTAGAAGAAGACGATAGGCGCGTTGATGAGGGAGAAGAGGGTACTGGATTCGTCCATAATGAAGCAGACGAAGCTGAGGTCTCAGAAGATGAGGGTGAAGAAAGTGAATCAGGCAACCATCAAGTACAAAGGACAGACGGGAATTTCCCAAGGAGAAACCGGAGGCGCGTTATTAGCGACGACGAGGATGAAGATGGAAATGTGGATGTTGCTCCGATACCACAAGAAACGCCCGTTCGATCACAGGCCCGACCCCTCTTCCCAGATTTTGGAGCCTCTCGGACCCCATTAATGGGCCTAACGCAGGCATTCGGGGCTACTTTCGCAGATAGCCAGGATAACGAAGAGGACTCTCTCGCCATGCTTCGCAGGATGCCAGATATTGAGTGCCCTGTTGATCAACTTCTACTGGAACGAGACTCGCAGGAAATTGTTCGTGACAGCCAGGGCCAGGATTCCGTCCCGCTCGATCTATTCGCGAGTTACCCACGAGCTGATGGGGAGGACCGGGTGTCAGAGTCTCCTGCGGCTAGGACGGTCACATCATACTCCCAGGCGCCTGAACCGACGCAGGATGCTGGATTTGTGTATTCTCCATTTGACCAGGGGAAGAGGTTTACCGATGTGCATGCACGGGTACCTACGTCGACGATCGATACCGTGCCCGTTGGTGAAGATCAATCCCCCATTGCCCGACGGACCGGGGGGACAAGAATTCTGCGGCGTGGACCCGTGGCTGATCTTTCCGATGTTGACGAGGACGATGATGAAGGGTTCCTGGTTAAATCTAGTGCCTTTGATGTCATGCGCAGGGCTGCGAACAAGAAAACGCAAAAGACTTCGCAGACTCCATTTGACAAGTCTAAAAGCAGGGCGCGTGATGTTATTGATGAGGTGGCTGAGGAGTCTGAGGATGAGTATGCGGGGTTGGGAGGGGCGAGTGATGAGAGTGCTGGCGAAGAGGATGAGATTGATCTTAGTATGATTAATGACGACGGTGGGGAAGTGGTTGATGAGAAGGAGTTGGCTGCACTTAATGCGTAGGTTTTTGCACCTGGTGTTCCTTTTTATATTGGATAATACATGGGAAATGAAACTAACAAGACCAAATTTCACAGAAATCACTCAAGACAACAGGACGAGCAGCAAGTCAATAAGCTGATGAGGGACATCGCTACTGGTGCTCTTCGCCGCAGGCGCGGAGCCGGCGGTGATGATCTGGACCTTTCCGATTCAGATGATGAACGCCTCGCCGCGCGCCGTCGTGCGAAGAGAAGAGAATTCGCCAAGATGCGTAAAGCTCTCCTGGCCGATGAGAAGATCGGTCAGATAGCGGAGGATCCGAAAAAAACTGCTTTCCTGCGCACTATTGAAGATAGGGATGTGGATAATGATGTGCCGATGGTGGATTTTTTGGAAGGTGGAAACACGAGTAGCTCACAGGATACGTCGCAGGATTTCGTCAGCGTTCATCATCCAACAACAGGAAGGAGGGGCGAACGATCATTTTGCAGAAAGGGAAAATGTTTCTGCTATTGGCAATAATAAGCGCAAGCGCCCACTTGACCAGTCAGGTCCCGATGCGCTGAACCGTCCACCGCCGCACATGCGCCGTACGGCGGAGAACCCTAGCAGGAAGAAGCCCTTGACGCTCGCTGAGATCCGCGAGTCGGTGTCTTTCCTCCTTGATGGGGGCGATTCTAATGCCTCGGAATCGTTCGACGAGGATATACTGCTCTCTGATGAGGAGACAGAGAGGGAGACCGAAGTCACCAACGAGCAGCAGCGTGAAGATGACATAGAAACCCGCCTCTTCTCCGCTGATGATAATAATGACAGCAACAACAACAGCGACAAGCCTATCCAGGCACCTGCCAACGGCCGCGGTGTCACAGGTTCCGATTATAACCACATACACCCCCGTCGCCGACAGCGCGGGAAAGTCGTCGACCGCCTCTCACTCCGCAGACAGGCATCCTCCAACGCCGCCTCCGGCTCCACAACGTCAACCACCGCTTCAGGGTCCCGCCAAGCCTTCTTCTCCAATGACAGCACGCCACTCTTCAAGCGCCCACCGCTACTCATTCGGCGCGCAACGGCATCTTCATCCTCATCATCGTCGTCTTCTTCGGCGGCAGCTACTGCGGCAGTGACATATGGCGCGAAACCCGTGGTGTCGGTGACGGAGTCACGAGCGGGGATGCAGTTGCAGGGTAAGAACGGGAAGAAGGGGTCTGTGAATTATTATGCAGCGGCCAGGGAGAGGCAGAGGGAGTGGGAGCTTCCGGCGAGGGGGAGAGAGGGGGTGGAGCGGAGGGGGCTGGCGAAGGGGGGAAAGCCGACAGGAGGCGTTTTGGGAGGGTTGCTTGGGGGTGGGGGGTGGGAGTGACCGCTTGTCGGGGATCACTTCTCCCTTCTTGGGAGCCATTTTTGGTTGATTGCTTTCTTTTCTCCTTTGAGGGTTGTTTTTAATTTGGGCTACTGTTTGTTAGGGATAGTATTTTGCTTTTGAAATGAATGAATGAACGGAGTGTAAGGAGTTTTAATATAGCGGGGTCTCATAATATATGCGTTTGGCCGTTTCGTCTGTCTGAATATATTTCTAGGTGGCTTGGGTAAAGGTTCATTTCTCCAAGCTATATGTACGTAGTAAAACAGCTCGAGTCATAATACATCCCACTCAACACCAACAAGCCACTTCTCTACCTTAACATCCCTCCTTCGGGTTCCGGGTGCGCTTGCACTTCCAGCGACATCCTCTGCATCAACTGCACCTTCCCTATCCTGTCTCATTTGCCCATTACCTACCCTCCCTGGAAATTCCTCAATTTCCATCTCCCACACAAGGCCGCGACGGAGCCCTATTTTGTCTCCTTTTGCTACGATAGGAGATGCGGCAAAGAACGATGCACTAAGGCGTGGATGGCGGCCGGGATGTTGGCCCGGTGTATCAAAAGAGCCGCGACTGTGGCTGCGCGGTGGGTTGGAGATGGGTGCCCCGAATAGTAGGATTTTGCGGGACGGGGGATGTATGAAAGGGGGCCGTATAGATGTTTGCTGTTGTACTGTAGATGGGGTTGTGCTATTGGTGTCCGTGTTGATGATACTACTGGCAATAGCGGTAGAAGAATTATTTATGGGGGTCGTTGTGATCAATGTCACCGGAGTAGGATGGCCAGGTGTATACGTATTATGGTCGCTTTTGCTGGTAGATGCCTGATGTTGGACATCAACGACTTCGGCTACGAGGTAATAGTTAGCTACTCGCGGCGGGGGTGGCATTTCTTGCGTCACCCTGGGCGCTTGGAAAGCGCTGGCCTGTGTGTTCTGGAATTGGGAGGCGTGTTTTGCTGCTTCTGCTTCTAGTAGCCAACCACGGACGGAGGCGGTCATGCCACCCGGTACACAGATTGGCGTGGTAGAGTTGGACCGTCTGGAGCGTCCGGGGATAAGGGATCTTTCATCTGTGGTTAGAGCAAGATGGAGGTGCTCCGGTGGTCTGGAAGAGGTAGGTGGGAGGATGAAGTGCGGTGGTCGCCGTTGAGATGAGATCGGTGCAGTAGTTGGCTTCAATTGGGAAGGAGCGAAATGTGTAGACATGGAAGGTGAACTTTGCTGGTGGCGAAAAAGAAAACGGGGGTGCTTAGTGGATGATGAAGGCGGGCGGTTGAAGGTTGTGATTGATGGGAGCAGCGGGGTAAATGGTTCCGGGGCCAAGGCTCGGGATGGAGTAGTGAGAGATGCCAAAGAGGAGACGGGTGATGGCGGATGTAGTGATGATGGGGATGAAGATGGATGGGATGGACACGACGAGATTGGATCTGCATTGGGATTATTAAGAGCAGGAGATGACACTCTTCTGCGTTTTGCGTTGCGTCTTTCAGGGGTTGGAGGAAAAATGGAATCGATTTCAGCATCACTATCAAATCCCCCCGCGTCATCCCGAGCTCCTGAATGCCCTTCTAAAGGGGAAGAAGTAGGGTCATCATGGAATAAGATCTCCTCTTCATCGCTATTGGAATCTTGGATCTCATCCTCCCTTGAATATAGAAGGGGCAAGCTTCCAATTCGCCCATCAGAGTCCGTAAGGGCTGAAGATGAAGGGGCAATATCACTCAGATCAGCTTCGATATCAGAAACAGATACCTGCCCGAACTTTTCAGCAAAGCGAAAGCGAGGAATTGCTGCAAATTGAGACGCAGAGCTTGAGGGAGCAGTTGATCCAAAGATAAAGCGTGGAGTTCGCGAAACGGATCTAATTCCGGCAGATTGAGGAGCTCGACCCAAGGCATTACTTTGCCTTGTTGGAGTCTATATCATGTCAACCACGATGGTACAACTCTTCAGGGTTTCTAGCATAAAGTTACACCGCAGAGCACGTACATTAGTTGGAGCCATCATATAAGAGCTTCTATCAGAATGCGAAACGGCCCTCGTGAATCGCCCAAGTTTTTAGCTTGTAATTATCAAGTTCCCGCGCATGGCCCATTTCTCAGGGGTGTGGTTTGTCATCCGACATCCACGTATCTTATCTGACATTTGAACCGGGTCGAAATATTCAAGACCGTGTTTGCATTTGCTCTAAGCTGCTATGCACTTCGTTTCCTTTGCTTGTTCAGGCGCCAGCATCTCCTCAGGATAATCGGAGTAATTGTAAATGCGGTTTATAGGAGTTTATAGCAGCTAGTTTTGTATTATTTGCTATAAACTGCTCTGGAGCCTCCTGCATTGATTTCCGTCTTCTGGACAAGCTAGCCCTGCAGTTGCCACCGCTGCTAATAAGATATAGGAAGATATATAGATATAGGAAGGTCTAGGGGAATTTCTGTGCGGCTGGAGATGGTGGTCGAAACAAGGTTGTGCACTAAGTTGAAAGGGGGATAGCCAAAATATCGTCCCAAGGATCAACACCAAATACATGATCTCAACAACAACCTTGGAACAACAACTCTTCAAGAGGACAGCTCAATCGCTACCTAGACACCCCTTCAATTTACCCTTCATTCGCTTCCATTCCTTCCCCTTCCCCATTTCTATATGCAAGCAAATGCCCCCGCGCACCCTCCTCCTCACCCTTGACGCGTTCCACACCCTCTTCCACCCCCGCCTCCCCGTCCCCATTCAGTACGCCCAAGTCGCCCAGTCCCTCCACTTCCCCCCGCATTTTAGTAGAAATAACCTCCCCATAGCAGACCTCGCAGCAAAAATCTCAACCGCCTTCCGCGCCGTCTATAAGCACGAGAGCGCCTCGAGACCAAACTTTGGGCGCAATGTTGCCGGCTTTAGCGGGCCCACGGAGTGGTGGGGTAATGTGATTCGGGAGTGTTTTAGGAGGGTTGCGAGGGAGGATTGTGCGGTAGCTGGCCAGGATGCGGCTGAGTCTGAAGTTGAAGTTGAGGTTCCGGAGGAGTTGGTTCAGAAGTTGCTGAAACGGTTTGAGAGCCGAGAAGGATACCTGTTGTACCCGGATGTGGAGGAGTTTGTGGCTAGGATGAGGCGGTGGAGGGCGCAAAGGCGGTTGCATAGGTCCAGTTACGGCGCTCCTCAGGACTTTGAGAGGATTGTTGTAGGCGTAATTTCGAACTCTGATGATCGGAGTGCAAATATCTTGACCAGTTTGGGAGTACGCGTTGGGTCGCTGGGGTGGACTACTCATGCTGCCAGGACTGTTACTACCACCGAAGAAACTAACTTGGATGGAGGAGATACACCGGCTGATATCGATTTTATCGTTACTAGCTATGAGGCTGGAGAGGAGAAGCCTCATCGAAAGATTTTTGATTTTGCTAAAGAGAGGGCAAAGAAGTGCATTGAGAGTGATGGATCTTTATTGCCCAAAGATACAGATTGGACCTGTATACATATTGGAGATCATTATGAAAACGATTACGAAGGGGCTATCAATGCTGGTTGGGATAGCTTTCTCCTTCCTAGAGATGGGGATGGGCCCGGCCTATCGGAATATCGGCATGGGTCTTCACCATCAGTAAAGCATCTACAAGCCTTAACTGACATATTTCCAAAGCTGGGCATTGATACATAAGATACTAGAGGTGGGAAAAGATGATGCAATCTTCATATTATGGTCCTGTTGTAATACATGGGTGGAAAGCATTCACTCTACTCGCTTACACGCTATGCATACGAATCGAGGGACAACTGAGAAGGATATCAAGAATCATCAACAGCCCGAGATACGACCTTCAGCGTATCCAAAGCAATATTGCTTGCCCATTTAACGATCCTCTTTTCCTTCTTTGACGCCACAATATCCGTCTTCGCAACAACCTTGCGAATAAAGTAAATTAGGCGCGGGACAATCTGCGGCGTCTCCCGGGTTCTCATGAACACATCCGCCAGTGCCTTTTCGTCAAATTCTTCTCCATCCGCTTCCTTAGAACCTGACGGCGCTTGTTCATTCCTCCGCAGTTTCCTTAACCTCTTCTGCTGCGTCTGTACCATGACAGTCACAAGCAGCAACTCAACGAACGTCTTCGTCTTCGGCTGCAGGTACGCAAAGTCCAAGACCTTGAGGATGCCCAAGGTAAGCGCACCATCCGCAACCATGCTACCGAACATTTTCGCCAGATTCACAATAGCTTTGCTGGTCACAGCATTATCGCTGTTTTCATCGATATCGGCATCGAAATCCTCCTCGTCCATATCACCCTTCTCACCCATACGCTTAAACACATCCCATAACGAGAACATGAACGCCATCTTCATTCTCCGCTCCCCGCAGAGCTTCCGCGCTATAAGCGTGTAATACGGATTATGTGCTTCTTCCTCCATCGCGCAATGCAGGACAACGCGGGGGATCTCTCCCTCCTGGTTGCGTTTTAATCGTAGCTTCGCAAGCCGGACATGGGCATCACGACAATCGGCCGCGGACATGATTGCCACAAATATGGATCGCCGAACGTCAGTATTCATGCGATGGGCTCTGGCTAGCTGTGCGAGATCGACTTCATTACCACCGATGTCATCGGCCAGCGTGTCAGGCAGAGCTGCCGCAGCATCGATAACAACCGGCGCAGATTGGTTGGTTGGATCGTCGTCGTTTTTCCAACTTGCACCCACTAGCCACCATTTCCCCTTCTTGGTGGAGTTGTGGATATCTGTGCGGCCGATGCGGATGGGCTCGCTGGCACGGATGGTGCGCGAGTTGTTGAGCGATCCGAGGATTTTTCTCATGCGTGTGATGTGCTCGGATGAGATGGCGGATGCTGTGGCTCCAGTTTTCATTCTGTTGTTTTTCAGGTCTGTCATTGTTTCGATCATGAATTTCGTGCGGACGGATAAGGCGGCCTCGCCGATTTGGGAGACTGCGGGTTGGATCAGGAGGATTATGTCTTTGAGAGAGGACGGGTCGTCTTGTCGGAGTTGGGGCCCGGAATCTAAAAATGATTAAATTAGTAAATGCAACTTGAATGTTTAAACCAGCGCGTTGTAAATAGTACTTACTTCTAATCATTTTCAGAAGTAGCTCCGTATTCACTTCATTTATTTCCTTCAGGAAGAGGCGGATATAGTCGAAAATCAAGCTACATCCGATAACATGGAAGTTATAAAGATGCGACAATAAGGAAATCGCATTAACCATCTGTTTACTGAGCCCGCCATCCTTCCCTTCATAATCCTCATCAAACTTTTTAACGATCCGTTCTATAAACTCCGCCCCAAAGTCCATGCCCAATACCTTATACAGAGCCGCTATGAAGCCTGCGTGCAGAATGATAAATGTGTCCTGGAGAGTACTTGGATCGTACACCATACCCATCAGCAGGTCGATTAGTGTAGTAGTGACGCTGTGCCGTGGATAATCCTGATAGAGCTTCTCGACATCTCGAAGGATCGAAACGAGATTTGCTTCAGAGAGTTTGTTAAGGTGGCCCTGGGCCTGCCGTCGTAGACGGGTTAGGGACTCGGCTTCGCTGGACGATGGAGCTCGGAGGGATGGGGGTATGTATTTGCGTGTAGCTGGTTCCGAGGCCACAACTGGGGCGACGTAAGGGTTTTCTCGCGTTTTTGGTTTGGGAGGTGAGCCCTCTTGTTCTTCGTCATCAAATCCTTCAAATTTATTCTCGTCATCACTCTCGCTATTCTCGTCACTCGCATAACTGCCCTCATCTTCAGAATCCTCATCTTCACTCTCTTCGTCACTAGCCGCCTCCATCGTCTTCTGGGTCTTTCTAGCTACTGCCTGCGCCTTCAGTCTCTTCCGTTGCAACCACTCATCCCCTTCCCTCTTCCTCTTCCGCGACTCATCGTCCGAATCACCCCCATCCAAATCACCAAGCAAATCTGCTAATCCCTCATCATAAAACGATTGTGGCAGCTTCCCTTTCTTCCCCTTAATACCCAACTTTTTCTCTAGCGCAGATATCTCCATATCGTCCGCCGCCAGTTTCTCCTCCACAGCTCTCGATATTCTAGGTCGCACTGTAGAACTCTCGTTTCCGCTCTTAGAACCTTCTTCCAGGTCCTCCTCCTCCTCCTCCTCTGATTCAACCTCAAACTCATCATCGGCTTCTCTCCGCGTCTTCAAAATCGACTTTGGCGCCGTTCCCGCATTCAGCTTCGCATTCAGTTTCGTTTTCCCGCTCGCCTGTCTACCAATAGACGGAGCACTTCTTCGCATATTTCCATCGCCATCCCGCGCGCCTCCTTGAGACAATTTCCCTCGCTGCCCATGCTGCGCCCTTTTGTTGTTCGCCCGCTCCACTTTCCGCTGCTCTTTGCGGGAGAGGCGCGCATTGTGTCGGCGATCCCCTCTACGCGCATTCGTGGGGTCTGGAAGGCCTAGCTCCTCTCGGAGCTGTTTTGGGAGCTGCGTCGTGTTATATAGAGGGCGTGACATAGTCGTGGAGCGATAAGACTGACTGGCTAAACAGCTCCTACGCTTGGGCTAAAGCTAATAAATTTTCTAGTTCTGGATGGGGAATTTTTTTTTCTGCCCCTCGAGATGGAAGGCGGTGTGCGGAGGTTCTGCTACAACCCCACGAAAGTCCGATTTGGGGAATACATCAGCACCTCATGGTGGTTTTGTACAGACGGCGGAACTCACGACCCCCGATGTGGACATTACTTGCGTATCTGATATTATAAACTATACATATATCCCTCAAGTAGAAGAACATATAATCTCGCAAGAAATCCGATAAAATCTCACAAGATTAGCTCTCACAAGATCAGCTCCCCTCACACTCCGCCCACATATATATTGCAGCCCAAGATGTCCAGCCCGCACGTCTCTAATGATGAGGTCCGTATATTCACCATACGAACTCCCTCTCTCACATAAATACATGAAAGGAAGAGCTAAAGACCTAACCAATGCAAAACTAACCACAGTTCTTCACGGCCCTAAAAGCCCTCCTCACAACACAGTCCACAAAAGCGCGCGGCTCCATATTCCTCACGCAAAAGCGGTTACCTCCCTTCGGCACAACTCCAATCACCACCACCACCACCACCTCCTCCTCCTCCTCACAGTCAGAAGCGACCCCATCAATATCAGCGTCGCCCGCACTAGCACCCGTGCCTGTCCTTGTCCGCGCCACAAACGGCCGGCACAAAGAGGCCAAGTCAAAGGTGTCAACCGTCGTACAACCGGATGACATTGAAGGGTTTTTTGTGCGATATGCGGAGGTCTGTAAGATGGGGATGGTGGGGATGAAGAGGAGGGATCGAAGTGGGAGAAAGAAGGGGAAGGGGAAGGGGGGAAAGGGGAAGGCGTAGAACCGGGATTGCGCCTTACGGTATGGGAGGGGGTTAGTCACATGTGGCAGAGGGTTCTTGAGATTATGCCAGCTTACATTTGGTTGTCTGGCGTTATGGGGGTTTATTTTCTTGAGGGGTTATGATTTGCTTAGTTTGTATTGGAATTGTGATGTTTCATTTTATTGAGATAAACGGGGATCCAAGGGCGGGAGCTCTGAATATAGAACTTTTAGTGTGGAGTTGAGATTCTGACGTAGACTGAAAATGTATTCGACCCATTTTCAGCAATATGAAATATACCCACATAGCATGAGATAGTGGAATCTTACAGACAAATAAATCTTAACTCTTAAGAAACGCCGCATCCTAATACAAACATAGAAAAGTACATAGAGGCAGATCATGATAATAATCCAGTAATATCAAAGAAATTAAAGAAGGACAAAGGAAATGAACGCTTATGCATATACAGAATGCATGTCATGAGAAAAAGGCCGTAAATCAATTCAGCTGGCAGAAAATCACAAGAGCTCCCGTTAAAATACTCGCCTATAAGCCAGACCGTACTTACTTATCCGCCAAAGAGTAACCCTCCATCCATATTCCCATTCGCCAGTTAAAACAAAAGACTAACATGTCAAGCGACGACAGCTCTAGCAATATCCATTCGCACATTAAAATGCATTATGTAGTTTCAATAAAGGGTATAAATCGAGAAGAGAAGCGCTTTAGACCAACCTAGGAGGTGGTGTACATGGTCGATTGATATTATCAGTCTAGCTCGTCCTCCCATAGGTCAATATGGCCGGCTTCGGGGCTGGAGTCGTCTGCATTTGCTGAAACAGCTGCTGACAGGGGGACGCCAAAGTCATCTTCACTCCAGATATCATCATCTGAATCAGAGGGATCACAATCATAGGTTGATTCAGCAGAGTTAACGGCACGAGGACCGTCTCCGTGTGCGATCCGAGCAGCAATATGTAGGAGAAGAGCTAACACTTGAATCGGTGTTCCCACAATGATGGAACAAGTTTTCTGAAGGATTGATGTGGTCATCTTGTTGATTGGTGATTTATCTTCGGGGTTGTATATGGTTGAAAGCGGCAGCATGGGTGAAATCTCCCGCTTTCTAGGGGTTTGAACACTGCGTTGGCGCGCGGTTGAATCGGGATCCGTGGTGAGGGCAGAAGTAGTTATTCCATTCATGTGACGGGCGAGATTTGTTACATGGTTGGTTGAAGCGTCTGAGTCTACGAATCCATTCTCTTTCGAAGCTGGAACATGCTCCTCTGGGGCGATGGGTTTAGGTACGACCGTAGCCTCGGAATCTTCACGGGTATGGGTCTGTTTGAGGAGGATCTGTGGTTGTTCTGCATTGACAAAAGGTTGGGGGTCGAGGGGAGACGGAGGATCAGAGTATGGAGGCGACGGAAGAAGGTCAGAATGAGATGACTGAAACGAGTGGAACGAGTCCAGGCTTGAGGACAAGTTATCACCATCCGCTTCACTTTCGCTGTCAGGGAGGGCTTGAAACCTAGCCATGATGGAATCAAAGTTATAGGTAGGTTCTGTAACATTTCTGGCAGTCCTAGTCCTAGTAGGAATCGATACCGTTGGTGACCCTTGGTAATGGAATATGGAGGCACGGCGTGCTCTGGGTGTGTTGTCACTCCCATCCGACGTCACTCCATCCTCGGTGTCTGCCCGGGTGCTCGCTGTATCACTTCGCCAACATCCTACGCCATCTGAACTGGCGTCTCCAAAACTCAATTTCCTAGGTTCAAAGCTTGGGTCCAGTTTCGGTCGCCATGCTTTCTTCTTCCGTGGGGTGTTCGCATCTTCGGGCAACTCGACTGAAAAGCCCCTCTTGAAGGGACAAGGAGTGACCTCATATCGAATAATTGCGCGAAGAACCTGCTTCAATTTTTCCACTTGCTCCTTATCTTGCTCTGTTTCGTTTGGTAGTTCAATACGGTAATAGGTAAGGCGCCGTATTCTGATGACGAAAATGGAAGCCCCATCCACGCACCAGCATTGACAGTTCTTCATCAGAGCCTGCACGACGTTACCAGACTTGAGAAATATGGTTGACCCGGGGACATGTTCGATTTTCAAATTACCCAGGGCCACTGTCCTCTCTGTCGATAGGCGCCACGGCAGGGTCTCGACAGCATCGACCACATAGTCAAGATCTGAGGAAATATCGCTGGGTGGGGGGATTTGGGCGGACTTGGGGAGTTCGAATTTCACGATTTTGGCATCGCTGTGGTGGAATAACACCTCGTTGGAAAGCGAAGCCGCGCCATCCACGGAATCTAGGCTATGACGCAGCCTCACAGGCAGGGTGTTGGAGCGCTGAAGGGGTTTGGCAGGGTCCATTAAGTCAGTCATCCGCAGCGGCGGGAACAGTCAAAGAAAGTTGACATGGAATAGAAATCACAGAGAGCAAGGCTTTACGGAAATGCCGTAGATGTATGAAAACAGAATTGCGAGCGGATGAGGAAGTAACCGTTAAAAGAATGGACGAAGACTGTATCAGAACAGAGGATGAAATTGGGTGTTATGGCGGCAGTGGGGGTGTTGTGGAGATCGATGGGATCAACCCGGACAGGGGATGGCTGGCGCTTAAATAACTAGTTAACTAGGAGCTTAGAGCTTAACTAGCCGCGCCATCATCAAACATTCATTCACCTTTCAAACAACTTCCATCCAAGAGAATAAATATACATGTTGACAAAAAGACCTCCTTCTCTGCTCTCCACAGTCTATCATCTGCCATCAGCTGGCTGTATGATCTAGATATTGCCACCCAAGGAATCAGCCATGTCTAATTTCGAACCAAATGCCATTATTCGCGGAGCCCAACTTACACTAGTAGGAGGTCAGTCCTCTCATTGATGCCCAGTCTATGCACAGATCTCAGTTGCATTGTAGAGCTGCAAATCATTCTGCTGGAGAGATCTGTTTATATGCAGGAACTTCGGGGTGCATCTGGCTAATCATGTTTACTTTTTTGTCTGCTTGTTGCCCAATTAGCCCATAGAGCTCTTCAGAACCCGTCACTATTTAAATCGGTGCATTACAGGCAAGCAGCCCTAGCAGTCTGTGCCGGGATTGCTATTCGACTAATTATTTCTATTCCGGTATGTATAAGTAGATCATACTCTGTTAGGAGGCTATGTCTAACACGTTCGTTTTGCAGGTTGTTGGCGTAAAGTTCGTGATATGGCTTCTCTCCTGGGTCATCGACCTGGAGGCGGCAACCTGGGACGATAAGATACTCAGCCGTCTTGACTTTGTATCAACATACGTTCTTCAGGTGCCATTCTTATTAATGACCTTAATGCGCTATGTTACCCCTACTTTGGATGACATGTATGTATTTCAAGCCAAATCCCCGCGCCTCTTTGGCACGGTAACTCAGTATCTCACTTCCGAAGGTTTATGGAATCCCTCCGATGGGTTGATTCGACCTACATCCAGAAACACAAGTCCGATAACCCAGAGAGTTTGCGAGCTTTGTATTATCCCCATCTCAGGATGTATTCGACCAAGAAAGATAGTTCCACCGTCTCGAGTTTGGGCTCGTCTTTTAAGACCTTTGTGACCCGATATGGCCGGAGAACTGCCCTCTCGCTTGCTGTATACATGGTCTCGCTACTTCCAGTTGTTGGGCGATTTGTGATTCCAGCTGCGAGCTTCTACACCTTTAATAAAGCCGTAGGACCTATACCGGCTCTCGTCGTATTTGGCTCAGGACTTGTTGTCCCAAAAAGAATTTTAGTGATGTTTTTGCAAAGTTATTTTTCGTCTCGTAGTCTGATGCGAGAGCTGGTAAAAATCCCTTCTCCTATTATCTGTTCATCCTGCGTTATCCTTACTTAATACTGCATTTTACATCAGCCGTTTCTGGAGAAACTCACTGACCACCATACCATGTTAAAAGCTTGAACCATATTTCTCCCGTATAAAGTTCACCAGAGAACAAAAACGGCTCTGGTTTCGGGATCGTGAAGGTGTCCTTTTCGGATTTGCGATTGGCTTCTATACTATGCTTAGAGTACCTCTCCTCGGAGTTCTACTATATGGTATCGCAGAAGCTTCGACGGCATATTTAATCACCAAAATTACTGATCCGCCCCCTCCACCGGCATACTCCGAGGGTTTTGCGGCAGGTCAGATAAGGTGGAGAAACAAGCATGCATTCTTACGATTATCATTGGATTCTCTAGATGTGTACAATATTAAGGCTGCTGGCGAGGGAGAGGCTGCCGACAAGGGAGATGGCAGGGGGCCGCAGAAGAAGTTCAGCTGAAGTTCTAAGGGTAGGGGGTTGAATTACGTCTGTACGGACTACTAATTATTCACGGCCTAGAAAACCAAATGCATTACTTTGGGCGTTTTTTGTTTAGTTATTTCTTGGGTACACTATGTGAATGACTCTGGGTTGCCAGGTTTTTGCCTAGATTTCTCTACCATGCTAATTTTAGGGAATTTACCTCTGGCGCGATGGAATTACTTGCATTAACTGAAGTATTTTGCTCGGATATGCCCTCCACGTTTTTTCAATTCAATCCAAACTTTGAGAAGTATCATTCAATCTACAACCATTCCCCCATGATCTTTTTTGAGGCATTCCCTGCTGGACGTTATATTCAATTTAGAATATCCCCGAGATCCTTGGACCATTCCCTTCCGCGAGAGAGCATTTCTTCACCTCCAGCCCCCCTACATATTAAGCCTTCCTGGCCCCATTTCGATAACGCTCGTTCTTTGAGTCTCTCCCTCATATGAATCCCTTCTATCCACCAATTTTCGACCGACTAGGTGGGCTAGATAAGAGGACCTAGCCTATCAAATTTACTTCTATGAATCTGGGATAACTTATGCTGACCAGCATGATACCTATTTCCACTTACACGATTTATATTCGTGGCGTTTAATATTTACTCTCCTTACATCTTAGGAACCCTATCATCATATTGTGAGGGTCTATATTCTACTATCTAACTTTAAGGTCGGGTAGAAGAAATACCCGCCTTTCGTCAATGGGCGACACACTACCCTCCGAGGGAGAAGCACAGGTCAAATGATGCTTGAATAGACAGCGGTTTCTTCTGACGACGATCATTTAACGAGCAAAATACCGGCTTCATCGGTTAACATTGCTCAAACTTGGACTGCTATAATGTGGTTTGGGTGATTATCTTCGACGCTCATATATATACGGTTTCAGGCTGTTACGTGTGAAGCTATCACACTCTTTCTCTGAAGAGCTACCAGCCTATCTAGTTGGGGTCTTTTGCTCGGGGTTTGGGCATCTAGCCCGTTTGCGGTCGAAGAGCTACGAAGGCGAGAGGTCAGCTTGAAAGGTTCATGGAGTGACTCCGTCATCTTTTAGAGTGCTGGCTGGGATTTCAACACACCCACGAATAGCACCTCTAGATAGTGGAGGGAAACATAGAAGGGAGACAAACATATCCAATTTCTCTATTTTTGAAGGAACAACGGGCGGCGGAACGAAGTATTTATGGACGATGATATCGTGACATCTCGCCAATACATCTTCCAATGCGACGTGCCCTACTACCTTGCTACAACAGCGTACGCTCTCAGCCTTCTTTTTCTCCCCTTCGCGAACGCCTTACTTCGCTTATGAGGGGTTTCTTCCAACAGCCCCTCGAGAAAACAGATCGCTTTAAACCACTTTGTTACTACTCTCCAAAAGTCCGGCTCTCCAAAGGGTCGAACGGTTTACGGCAGGAACAACGGTTAACAACATCGTCTGGCTTTTCCAACAACGAACGAGGGATGTCCCTACTTAGTATCGTTGGTAGTTCCACTTTCAGGAAACATTATGTAAAAGACCTTATGGGAGCTCTGCGGTAGCATATCTGCCTATTTGCTGTTCTCCTGTTTCTTGATTGCTTCTCCCGTACATTCGATCTTCTCCAGCGAAGCTTCTCTCGGGTGAAAAACAGGATGACCTTCCTGCATATACCCCCAAATGACTGAAGGATATGATATTCAACTGTTTTCATGAGCAGAATATGGTGCAAATCTCAGTCATTAGTCCCACTTACCGACTATCAAATGATCAACTTAATGCAGTGAAATTAGACACCCACGAACATGGGAGGTCTGGCATACTGGACAGGAAAAATTACTGCCAGCCCCGTTTGAACTCTGCGGCAAACAAACACCAATGGTGGTATCTGCAGCCGGAAACTCCGTGGAGATCAAATCGTTAACGTTAACGGCTGAGCTAGGGAAGAGAACAGCGACACTTCTATGGAAGAAGGCAGAGGAATTGTCGTCGTCATCGGCACTTGGGATTGATTCCAACACTTAACACGTACTTCGAGTAAGGCTGCCAGCGCCATGTCAGGGTCAGGTTGTGGTCAACAGAAAGTGGAGGCAGGAAGTTAGCACAGCTCATCCGCCAAATATGCGTTACTATCATATCGCTGATGATTCTTTCTGTCGGTATTTAGGTAAAACCACTCATGATCATAAGATCCCGTGAATAGAAGCGATGAGAGGCCATCTCTATCCTCCGTCACATAGCATGGTAACATGTCACTGCGCCTTCGTCCATAAGATGTTCCGAAATTCCCAGACAACCCAGATATCCATCCATGATATGTTCGGAATCAGTCTGTGGCCAGTCATCCAAACCTACATCTGGAGCTAAGGCACTCTCCTAGCCCTCAGAGCAAACAGCAAGCGACAAAGTCGGAGTTTATCAACCAGATCTTACGGAGAATTATCACACATTTTACGGCGTTGTGCGGCCGCAGACTGAAAACTATACGTGAATACCACTCAAACATCTTTGGATGCTTTTCATCGGGATGTCCGAGGACAGCCATCTATTTTCGCTACTAATGGTCTGCCTTCCTTCATCCCTTTAAGGAATTAGCTCAAGGAGTCTCAGAGGAAGAAACAAGTCTCTACAAAGGGCCTGTCTGGTCTAGCCCCTCAAACATACCGTGATTACTCGATTAAATGAGCAACGATATCAAGTCTTTCCAATCAATCGGCGACGAGTTTCATTTTTGTCGCCGGACGGGCGTTGCAACAATCTTGAGGACTATTATGCTAATCAATGTAATCGAATTCCATACGCAGAGTGCACCTATGCATACCAGCCTAGACGGTTGGTCAACTACTCTGATCAGCCTATAATAGATGGAATGAATCAATCTCTCATCTAATACATATCAAATCATATCATATCTCCCACAATCATGTCTGCCAATATCACTTCTGAAGCTCAGTTTGTGATTATGAGGAATCATTTCAATACTACATACACTATCAATCACTGTGAAATATGCATCAGCTGTTTCTGATTGAGGGAATTCGAGCCAATCCATAACTGTGAGATCTCCACAGGTCGTATGGTCTGCGATAATTGCCATTTCCGTGATCTCCAGTGTTTCACTATACTCCATCAATGACTGCGACAAGATCTGTGTAGTCATGAAAATCAGCCAGTTTCTGACACTCTTATTGATCTTGAGGAGACAACACTTTCGCTATTCGGTAACAGGATAATAGAATTACTCGCATTAGGGGAGAAAATTCCATATTGTTGCAACCTTGTAACGGCGTCCCTGCTGAAACATCATCGGAGACTCCTGATTCTAGATATCAATTTTCCAAAAGCAATGAAAATTGAGTGTCCGTCCAGCGGAAAATCGCCATAGTTCAGCCCGGCCAGGATGTATGGTGGATTCGCTTCAAGATGATTCGACAAGCGTCCTCACAGACGTTAGCTTTTCCAACCTTAGTCTATCGCAGTTTAGGTAGTCAAGGGCCAGGTTCTGAGTTACGCCGAACGCATTCCCAAATCCGACTTACCGAATTTCGCAATGACAGCCACATAACAGAAGTGGACGATATCGAATACCCACTGGAGATTCCGGCGGCAGAACACGATGCTGAGAGGATAGACGCGGATATTTCCGTCCATCTTCTGCAGTCACCAACCACCCGTCTCCCCAACGCCCGTCCGCCATAACCCGGCGATGTAGTCATTCTGCAGACATACGGTGAAACAGCAGCCCAGCCTGGTTGCAAACGTGCGGCAGAAAATGGACCGGTAGAAGAATGCATCTTGCGCCTATGGATGAGAACCGAATCGCCAGGGGCATGGGGTGTGTGCCAACTGCCAACGGGGCAAAATGAGCGCTCACTGCTCACTTAACCGCAATCAATTTTACACCAAAGTCGCCGACGGTCTCCTGTTAGGAGGCAGTGTGTCCAGTTACGACCAAGTCAGGCCATCCACCTCGAGAGGACTAAGTTAATGCTTGAAAATTGGCAGCTTCCGCCAGCTTCCACCACCAGAACCCGCTTTCTTAGATTGTCAGCCTGAGTTCGAAAGTGCTGGAGACTTTGCCTCGGCGAATTGCAATCCTTCCTGTGTTGTTTGACTCCCAAAATCTTGTTCTTTTAGACGAGACTGGAAACCACCATACTTAAGGATCCTTATATGACAAAGTGAATCTTGCCACTGGTCTACACTGGAACCACAAATCTACTCTTGATATTGAGTAGTCCTCCGCTGCAATATGCATCTACCTTATATTTCAAAGGCTGTCATGGGATGTATGAGTTTCATGGTACAACTTTTCGCAAGAAATGCAGAGCTGCGCCGACTGCTCTGGTGGGGCTCATTTGGAATTTATATACTCTTCATCGAAAGGCCTTGGCAATCTCGCTGGGAATTATCCTGTCAAGAGGAGCCCTTCATGCAAGCATCTCTAAAGAAGCCACCAGCTATCATACATAAATGCCATCCTCATCCGGTCTCAAGGGTTTCGGGGGGGGGGAGGATAGATCCTGCAAACACCTTTCACAGTAACAGCCTTCCTTATAGAAGTTTAGCTGCACGTAAAAATGATGTTTCAGAGTGTATCTAGTGCAAGTCAATAAAGGGCACCATCACTGCAGTGGATCTGTCCATGCAATGTTCTCACACTGATCTGTGTGAAGTCATGTCATGAACTTACCCCTGGAGTCAACCTTCGTCTTTGACGTGCCTATCTCCTCCCGATTCCTCCTCATCTGTCAACGAGGCCAACTCCGCCGCCAGAATTGCCAGCTTTCGAAGCGCTTGCCACCAGTCATTCACAAAGGGGAAAATCGTATCCGATTCCCTCCTCAAGGGAACCAACCATTCGAAGTACTAGCGATCGATTTTATCACAAGTCTCCCAGTCAGCGACGGGTATGATACCGATACCATCTTGACTGTCACCCACAAGTCCTCTAAGCTGGTAATCTTAATCGCTGGGCAAGAAAGAACGGGACGGTTCCTGTTGAGCGAACGAGTTCTATAGGCGTGTCATCTGTCATTGTCAACTGCTGTTAGCGATCATGTCTGACCGGGACCCAGGCCAGTTGGTCCCCGAATCAAATATATGATGAAAACCCTGGTCAATAAAAGTGGAGAACTTCCTTCTTGGGGTTCTTGGCACGAATAACTACAGCTCACTGATTGGTTGTAGAGTTAGTTAAGTGAAGCACAATCCCTGAATCTCATGACATTGCACTATGACTTCTGCCGCCTGCGGCTCTACACGCTCTTAACTAGACTGGCCGCCGGGACCATGAATTTCTCATTTGGTCCCATTTGGTCTGGTCCCATACATTTCTTGGTGTGAATCCCACTGGGACTAATCATTAAAAAAACATGTAAAGTGACTATATATCAGATCTTAAAATGAAATCATGACTTAGAAAAATTAAGAAAGTGATCTTATTTAATTTCATTTAGTTTCATTCTTAGACTGATCATGTGACTGTGTCTGAGACTAGAACCAGATTTTTTAATAGTTTCATTATTAATTCAACTGATCTCATTACACAGTTTTAACATTAGATAGTAGTCTTATACTGTTTCAGTGAGACTTACTATCTACTCTTATCATATTTTTCAAATAAGATTATGATTTTCACTTCTTAATTTAAATTATTTTTATTGCTTTAAATGACTTTAAATCTCATTTGAGTGTTATCAAAAAGTGTTACTTTTTAAAAAATTAAAAATAGTCAAAAAAAAACCTTAAAATGTCTAAAAATAGTAACTTTATACTAAGAATAAGACTAAATGAGATTAAATGAAATCACTTTCTTATTTTTTTCAAGTCATGATTTCATTTTAAGATCTGATATATAGTCACTTTACATGTTTTTTTAATGACTAGTCTTAGTAGAATTCATACTAAGAAATGTATAAGATCAGATTAAATAAGATCAAATGTGAAATTTATAATCTCAGTAATCAGTCTATTCATTCTTAGTATAAAGTTACTATTTTTAGACATTTTAAGGTTTTTTTTAGACTATTTTTAATTTTTTAAAAAGTAATACTTTTTGATAATATATCACACTCTCAGCCGCGCTAAGACTCTGTTATGATTTTACACAGCTCATCACTTTTATATAAATGATTTCATTCATTTCACAGACTATTTGAACTGATTTTCAACTACTCTATAACATTATTTACATATATTATAGAAAGATCTGATTAATGAATATAAGAATCTCACTTCTATATAAGATTAGCAGATTACTCTTTTATAATAATAAGATACTACTGAGATATCACTTCAGCTATTCTCACTCATGAAATGAGAGAAGAATATTTACTTATTATCTATATAGAATAGCTAGATACTGACTCTTTATTAAAGAAGTTAGTAATTTATTTTCTTCTACTGAAATATATATAAGAGTTACTATATTTCTTATTTGCGGAGCGAAGCGAAGTAAATATATGATGAAAACCCTGATTATTAAAAGTGGAGAATTTTCTTTTTAAGGTTCTTGACACGAATACAGCTCACTGATTGATGTAGAATTAAGTGAAGTGCAATCTCATGACATTGCACTATTATATCATCTACTCTGTACAGATTCTTGAATAGATAATGCATCTGATCAATCATCTCTCATAGATTCTCAAGAATGAATAATGTGTCAAAAGCCTGTGTTCACTGCTTATAAAATCAGTCTCTTGATTAATTTATTTCTTTACAGTATTCTACAGTTCTACTACTTCTACAGCTGTCTGTCTTCAATACTACACTCAGAGAACTCAGGTATTATAATCTTCTCTTATTATATCTTTTCTATCACTGATTATCTCTTTACACTGTGTAGAACTGTAAATAAATATATACAGTGAAATCAGATTCTTCTACAGTTACAGATTCTGTGATAAATAAGTCTGAACTCTCTCTATTATTCTAGATATATTAATACTTCATATAATTAACAGTAGTCTCTTAAGTCTGTGTAAGAATAAATGCTTACAGACAATTATTCAGATATTTACAGCTTGATATAATATATACTATTAACTACTAGAAGTATTCATGATAGAAAGATAAAATATAGAAGTTAAATATATAATAGTATTCAAGCTGAGTTATAAATAGTATTCATGAACTTCAGTCTATATAGTTATGTATAGACAGTGTAGTCAGAAGCTACTAACTCTATTAATTATATAAGAGATAGAAAATAGAGATAAAGAATCTGTAAGAAGTAAGATTTCTTACAGTCTGTGAATAGTCTATTGAAATAGATATATTATCTGAGATTAAGTTTTATTACTATGAGATTCATAGTTCTGATATATCTTCATTAACAGTAGTCTATAAAAAGAAAACTATTATTCAAAGAGTTTACTGTATTATCAGATATTATAGAGAATATCTCTTATTAACATTATTCTTAACTTAATTAAGAAAACAGCTGCAGTCATTATCTTTGATAATTAATTCATTTCTCAGTTCTGCAGATCTCTCTTCAGTCTTTCATCAATTATCTATATCATTATTTAACTCATTCTCAAGTTAATCTTATTTCATCTTTAGAGACATGCTTTCACTGTAGTTACAGTTCTATCTCTTTTATTAATAAGCTGTAAAATCAATCTTGCAGAGTCTTCTGTTTTGAGCTTAGCTCTGCAATGTCTTTGTACACAGAGACTCGTATGCATTAAGATATTTTATAATCTTCTTAATATACTAAGTATTATATCTGTAATATTCTTATAATAACTCTATAGCTCACAAGCTCACTATTTAAGCAAGATAGTTAAGCTTACTTATATAGCTTTTTAAATAATTATCTCTATATAATACTATTAACTAGTCACTGCTTCAGTTCTATTATATTATAATTTAAATCACTTAATCTAATTATAAGTTTGAATTAGTTAAGCTTTATTAATGAATTGATATAATCTTATATACTTATACTGAAACTAATCTAATCTCACTGTCTGAGAGAAACTTTATATTATTTTCTAGAGTATATATATTTCTACTCTAACAGAAATCTGAGATTTCTGAACTTACTATACTCTTTAATATAAGCTCTTTAATTACTCTGTTATCACTGCAGTCTCTATACATCTACATCTATTATAAAGATAGAGAGATTAAGATCAGAGATTCTCTGAATTATAAGAGAAATATATTATCTGAATTTCACAGCTTTATCTATATTCTTGAATGAAAATTTCACCTTAATCTGAGCCAGTTTAATACTTATAAGATATAAGTAATATATATTATCAATCTTCTTGAAGACATCTCTGTAACTACTTAAATTATTAAGAAGAGAGAGCTTAAATGTATTAATATAGTTATAATTTAAGAAGAATTTAATTTTCTCAGTGACTAAATGATTAATGCAGTCATCTGATAGTGTCTTGATATAAGAAACTAAGGCATGTAAGTTTGAAACTCACAGAGAATACATTAAATCTAGAACTCAAGCACCTCAGATTTCTAATAAATACAGAGATGTATAAATCACTTCAATAAATTACTCTATGCTTCTGAGATGAGAAGTTATTATTGCATGTATTTAATTATCACTTCTTTGTATTTCCTATGTTCTTATTATCTTAATGTGATCTCAACACCTGTATTTCCTTCTGTATAATTAATACTTGACCTGTATTTAACATTATACAAGGACTCATCATAAGCTTCTCTTGCATATGAGTATAATGAAAGAATAATAATAATAATAATAAGAAGAAGAATTTAAAAACTTTCTACTGAATCAGATTAATGATTACTGTAATTA